GGAATTTCGACCCCCCCAGTTCCCAGATTGTTATGGCTTGGAAGGTGTTGGAAGGTACCTGCCAGCTGGCGACCCTGGCCTGTACAAGCAGAGTCATTGACACCTCCAAAAAGGACTTAAGGACAACCTATAGTTACTTGCATATACAGTATGTTCTTACAAATTTGCCTACTTATGCGGTCCTGAGGACACTGACCATACATACAACTATCCTTTCGGAATTCCGAACCAAATCTACATAAGGGTTTGTCACCTTTAAAAGGTATGGTCGAAGGCAGACGTTGTTAACAGGAGAAGCGCTCGAAATAATGACGTTTAATTATGTATTGTGCAGGATACCAGTAACATGTTCGCTGGGTCCATCAGCTATCTGAGAACAGGCCCTCCTGATGAGTTGGAGAACAAACTCTACGTTGCCGAGGGCGTGTACATCAAGTTTGAGATAGAGGCTGTAGGCTTTGCACGCCTTTTCTTTGCGAATGGGGTTCAAGCTGTTGCTGTTCCTGAGGGTGTTAAGGTTCTGAGAGATGCACAGCATGAAGTGAGAGAATGTCAAGGCAGTTTCTTTCTGTCATGGGATCACAACTACGATATTAAAGTCGGCAACGAGCTATTCTACAAGTTCATAAAACAGAAACAGCATAGTATTTCTATCTACGGAACCGCCAAGGAGCTGTGGGAGAAGGAGAAGGAGAAGAAGAAGAAGGAGAAGAAGGAGAGGAAGGAGAAGAAGGAGAAGGAGAAGAAGGAGAAGGAGGAGGAGAAAGCGAAGAAGGAGAAGGAGAAGAAGGAGAAGAAGGAGAAGAAGGAGAAGGAGAAGGAGAAGAAGGAGAAGGAGAAGAAGGAGAAGAAGGAAAAGGAGGAGGAGGAGAAGCTTCTCCGTAAGCTTCTCCTTCTCCTTAAGGAGAACGAGAAGACGGAGAAGGAGAAAAAGGAGAAGAAGGAGAAGGAGAAGGAGAAGGAGGAGGAGGAGGAGGAGGAGGAGCCGAACACGGATGATGGGGATGATGATGATGATGATGAGGAGGAGGAGGAGGAGGAGGAGGAGGAGGAGGAGGGTGAGGATGAGGTTGAGGCAGCCGTTTAGCACGGCAAAGAAGCTCAACCTGATCAAGCAGGTGACATGATTGGTCTCTAGTGCAGTGCACGGCCAGCTGGCCCGCTGGCTCTACTCTTCATAATACAGTCGCTTTTTGATACCGCGAGAATCATACGGATACGCTTGCTGCGGGCCCTATCCGTCTCCCGAGGTCGGCGCCGCCGCCTTTAGACCCTGTCGCGGCTCTGTATTACTCTGAGTTTACCGGGGACGTGTCAGTGCGGCCGCCGCTCACGGCCGCCTTGCTCTCCATCTACCAGGTGCACCAACGTCAGTGGGTCTCGGAGAGCTGGCGGCGGGTTCAAAGTGCTGCGCGAGAATTCCATGGCTGGTGCAGC